ACACACACACACACACACACACACACACACACACACACACACACACAGGAACTGAATTTGAAAAAAAAAATCAACAATCGAGATTTCCATTGCAAATAATGGAAAATTATTATATGTCGCCCCAAGCGAAGTAATTGATTGAACGATATAAGCCAATTAAGCCGTTACTCGCATAACGTTCGCTGCTTGTAGTTGGTGGTATTATTATTATTCTTTTTTTGTAGTTATTGTCATTGTTGATGTTCGTCGGTTGTATGCTTTTTGAAGTATTTTATATAACACACAATGCAACAAAGGATATTTTATCAGCGAGATTGAAACGTCAACTAGAAAATGGGCGCATTTTGATTGAACGTGTTTTTGCGCTTGGGGTGTGATCTTATATAATCCAATGCAGATGAAGAAAAAAAAATTGTATCTATACTATTTTGACGCGGCTCTCGACTAGCTAATCAACACGTAGTCAAAAGTGATGAATGAAAAAGATAGATGCCTTTGCGCTTGAAAGTTGGAACTATTTGATGGTTGGTATCAATCAGCAATCACAACGAGTGAATGCAAGATTTTTTTTCTCCGTTGTTGTTATTGTGATTGAAATCTACCAGAAGAACCACCGACAATGATGCATTTAAACGACGCGCTTTTTTTTCGCACCACTCTGCTTCGCCATTAAAGCAACGTGGAAAAAAGCACCAAACATTTATATTTAAAAGTTGAATGGGGAAATTTGGGAAACGTTTTAAATGGCAAAGTAATACGTTTCGTCAGAATATGAAAACACTGCGCAAAAATACATTCATCACTTTCGTAAATGAAGAAATGAATGTATATGACAGATAAAAAGCTGTAAAACAATAGCACTTCGCGACAGAACAATCATTTATCAAGCCAAACGTCAAGCTTTTTTGTCGCTCACTGTCTCGTTCTCGTTTTGTGAGCGATAGAGCTTGTTGTACGACCTGTTTTCTCTCTTTCGCATGTTTAATTTTGAATCCATTGTATTGCTGCATGCGAACGTGTTTTTTTTTTCCTACGAGTTTCACTAGCGTTTCACTCACTATCGCCAACATTGGCGCTCATGTTTTATGCGGTTCATGCGTTCATCCGAAAGGCTGTGTGGCTATCTCCGGTCCAATTCGTATCAATGTTGAATGATTTGAGTCCATATCGGGTTTCATAACATGTAAAATCCAAATATGATGAGTTGCTGGCCAGACAAATACAATTAAAGACATAAACAACAAACGGAGCACAGCAACAGGAGTTTTTGCCAGTCGAAGAATAAAAAAACAAATTGAGCCAGTCATGCAGGCCCAACAGCTAACGAGCTATGCCAGCAACTTGCAGGAGACAGAAAGTGTCTATGTTTATCTCTTGCCCGAGATGTAGATCATTTCTCATTGTATGTTGTGTGTGTGTGTTTGTGTGTGTGTGTGTGTGTGTGTGTGTATTCGCCAAAAACCGGTGTTGTTCTGTTCATTGTGATTGTTGCTGTGTATCGTTCTCTCTCTCTCTCTCTCTCTCTCTCTCTCTCTCTCTCTCTCTCTCT